GGACGGGGGACGGACCGGGCCTGGAGCTCCCCTCCCTGGCGGGGTGGCGGCTGCATGGCGGACCCCGCTCGCTCCGCTTCCAGGCGCCCGGAGCTGTCCAGGGGCTTTGGCGGCAGGAGCGCAGGTGGGTGCAAGAAGGATGGAGAGGCGCTCCCCCGCCAGCCCCCCCCCCTTGGCCAGTTCGCTTCCCAAGGGCTGGGAGGCGCATAGGGGGGCAGAAGGGCCCCGGCTGACCCACCGGACCCAGCAGGCCTCTTTTCAATAAGATCTGGGGTGGGGGGAGTCCTCGAGATCCGAGGGTCCCACCTGCTACTCACCCGGGGATCCCAAACATCTAAACAGTAACAGAGTTGTAAGGGACGTTGGAGGTCATCTAGTCCAACCCCCTGCTGACCCAGGACACCTGCACTAGAGATTCCAACCGGCAAACTGCCATCAACAAGCTCAGTGTCTTAGCCACTGAGCCACCTAGTCAGATCATCCCAGCCAGATCCTTGTGCAGCTGAGACCCGGGAGCTGGCCTGTCTCTGGGTAGCTTATCCCAATACAGGGGCTCTGCAATACAGGGAGTCCTTGACTTACAACGGTTCGCGTAGCGACCGCTCCAAGTTTCAAGGGCCCTGAAAAATATGCCTTGGGACCGTTTGTTCCAGTTCCGACCTTTTCAGCCTCCCCAGGATCAGGTGATCAAAATTCAGGTGCTTGGTGAGTGATTCGTATTTATGACCGTTGCCAGGTCCCAAGTTCATGTGATTTTAACCTTCAGACAAGCAAAGTCCATGGGGGAGCTGGATTCACTTAACATCTGGGTTACCCAACTGCAGTCATTCACTTAACAATGGTGGCAAGGGTTGTAAAACGGGGCGAAACTCACCTAACAACAGAAACTTGGGGTTCAATTGTGGACGTAAGTCAAGGATTATATGTACCTGGGGCTTTGATGGGCAAGAGGCGCCCATCCCAGCCGGTACCTCTTACAGCAGGGGTCTCTTTTTCTGGGACCAAAGGCAGTGCAGAAGGACAGCCAAGCCATACCTGGCAAAGGTGCAGCTGCATCCAGGAGTTCCAGACGGGCCATTTAAAGACTNATGGAACAGAAGTTGCCTTCGGAAGTTGTGGGAGCTTCATCCCTGGAGGCTTTCAAGAAGAGACTGGACTGCCATCGGTCAGAAATGGTGTAGGGCAGGAGTAGTCAACCTTTTTATACCTACCGTCCACTTTTGTATCTCTGTTAGTAGTAAAATTTTCTAACCACCCACTGGTTCCACCGTAATAGTGATATTATGAAAACCTAATGAAAATGTTTTCAAATAATGCAATGAAATTTTTTTAAAAAGTCAATTAAATTTAAAAAAAGGAAAGTGCTTCAGTATCGGACAAAACCCCTACTGCCCAACATGAAAGTTGGAACACCTACTAGTGGGTGGTAGGGACCAGGTTTACTACCACTGGTGTAGGGTCTCCTGTTCAGGTTGGACTAGACGATCTTCCAACTCTGTTAATCTATAAATCTGTAAATTATTTTGGAACAAAGTAAAATAACCTGCTTAGCATGTTACTGTGTCTCTTGAGTGAGGTGCAATTGCAACTGCCATTTACTTGGTAACATTTTCGGAAGAGATCTGTCCTGCCACCTCCTTCCAAGGACAGAATGAGGGACTCAAGGTCACCCAACTGGCTCTGTGCCCTATGCAGGACTGGATCTACTGGTTTCTCTCCTTAATCGAGACACCAAACAGGTTCTCTTGGCACATTTGCTATGGTTAAAATGCAGCATGTAAGTTTTGTATCCAATTTCTATCTGCTTATTTAAAATTAGTTATTCAGGTACCTTACAAGGAGAGAAAAATAGGCTAAAATAACAGAAACAACCAAGAAAATACAGTTAATAAAATAATCCTATGCTGGGGAAAATATCATCCAGGTAGTCCTCAAATTACAACAGTTCATTTAGTGACCGAAGTTACAGCAGCCCTGAAAAAAGTGACTCGTGACCATGTTTCACACTTAATGACCGTTCCATCATCCCCATGGTCACGTGATCAAAATTCGGATACTTGGCAACTGACTCATATTTACGACGGTTGCAGGTCATATGATTCCCTTTTGGTGACCTCCTGACAAGGAAAATCAGTGGGAGATTCACTTCACAAAGCCAGGTTCACTTAACAACCAGGGTACTAATTTCACAGTTGCAGTGATTCACTTAATAACGGTGGTGATTAAAGTCAAACAATGGGGCAAAACTCACTGAACAAAAGTCTCACTTAGCGACATAAATGTGGGGCTCAATTTTGGTCATAGGACAAAGACTACCTGTGCAGTCTTTTGTAGCAGAGATCTTAGAAATCTGCACAATTTTTGCAAAGAAAGGTAAAATGCGCTGGAGGAAGGAAGCTCAGGGGGGAGGGGCTTCCAACCTTTTCCTCTGGGGAGGAATCTCCTCTCCCCTCCCCGAAAGGGCCTCGATCCGATGCTTGGAGAGGCAAAACAGGCTGGGTCGACTCCTCCCTTGCCCAAATGAGAAATGCCCTGTTCAGCCGGAGGGTCTCTCAGTCACGCCGCTTGCTTGCATGGGAACCCGCCCCGCTAACCGTGGTTTGCTCCAGGCCGCCCGCTTGGACCGGAGCACCTGCCGTGGCGCTTCGGGCGTGGCCAGCGGCGCCCTCCTCCCGGGAAGGCCGCCTTAGCGGGGGCCTCGGCGGGACTCAGCCTGTTGCGTGGCTCCCTCCCGGCCGGCTGCTCTACGGGCCCCCATTGGAAAAGCCGCGGCTTAGCGGCTCCCTAACCGCCCTCCACCCGCTACCTGCTGGGAGGGGCGGCGGTCGGCAGGGAAGGAGCCGCCTCCCCGGGCATCTGCTGCGCCCGCGGCCTCCGCCGCCTCCTCCTCCTCCCCGGCCGGATCCTCGCAAGGCGGTGACGCAGTAGCGGCGGCGGACGGCGGGCGTGGAGCTGCCAGCGGCGCCGGACAGGTAAGGCGGCAGCCGGGCGCGGCCCGCGGGGGGGACGGGGGACGGACCGGGCCTGGAGCTCCCCTCCCTGGCGGGGTGGCGGCTGCATGGCGGACCCCGCTCGCT